TTTGCAGTGCTTTTCAAGCCTTAATTAGCCTTTACATGTTTGGCAGGTGGTAGGGTAGATATTCTCCACCTTTGATCAGCCCTCATGGCCTCCCTTCAAACTACACATTAAGAAAGCTGTTTCCTTTTCTCCTCCACACGCTGGCTTGCTGGGATGCTGAAGGAGAGCAGGGCCATGGGACACGTGCAGAGAGGTGTCTCCTGTGCCTGTGTCCCATCTGTGACTTGTAGGTTCCCCACTTTCCTGACTCACAGCTTTCCACCCTGGACAATCCTCGCTCAGTTTGTGATCAGGACCACACATCTGTCAATCCTTGGCCATAGTCCATGGGCTCAGGGTCAATACAGATCCTTCTGCTGGAGTCAGAGGACCCCAGGCTGTGGTGGCAGCTCTTTTCTCCTGCCCTGTGCTCTGTGGTGGGGTCAGAGGGAGATGCAGGAGCCTGGCAAGCTTTTGTCCCTCCGATTTTCTTTGGTTGTTGAGATTGGCACGTGTCTTCTAAAGCGTCCTCCCTCTGGCCTGTTATCATCTTAAACCTCCTAATAAGCCTTCGGAGTTTTTTGTCTTATAAACCCTGGCTGCAAGTGGCTTTACAGAAACTCTGAGATAGCAGGGAGGAGCCAGGATAAGCTCTTCTATCCAGATTATCTGTCCCAGCCTGGAATGAGCTGCTAGGGGCTTTATCCATGGCTTTTAGAAACAGCACTACCATTAATTCCCATCAGGGCCCTTCTGAGACTGCACTGATTGAATGGCCTTGTTTGTCCAGCCTGGTCTTGAAGCCCATTCCTGACTGCACTGATTGAATGGCCTTGTTTGTCCAGCCTGGCATTGAAGCCCATTCCTGCTCTGGGGTACAGGGTGTGTGCAGTGTCCTCTGCTCTCCAGGGAATGCTCCCTTCAGCACCTTGCACAGGCATCGTGTGAATTCATGTACCCTTTGTTAGTGGTTGCTGTGGCAGTGCTCACAAGCCCGTGGGGGGATGATCCTTCCTCTGGGTGGGTGGAAGTAGGAACAGAGCAGCCTTGTTGCCTCCATGGATGTCTCCATTCTTCTCAGGCACAAAGGAGCAAATACACTTGTGGCTCTGGACCGGGTGGCACAGGCTCCTTCAGCTCAAGAAGAGATGAACCTTTGTATTGCCTGCCATGAGCAGCTGGTGTGCTGCTGTTCTCAGATGAAACCTCAGGCAGAGGCCCTGGCACTTGTCACATGAGCTGCTATGAAGTCCTTCAGTTAGAAATGCCCCTAGACAAGCATCCTGAGGTCCTGGTTCTTCCCAGTGGAGGGTTCCTCTTTCCCATTCAGAATGGCCATGGACTCTCACTGGGCAGTGTAGGAGCTGCTGTGGATCCCAGAGCTGTGTCCAACAGACACACCTTCCCTTTTGGCTGTCACCAAAGTGACCTTGCCTTTCCTCAGCAAGGTGTATCTCCACTCCAAGCCAGTTTTGCAGCAGGATGGGAGGAGCTTTTCATAGCACACAAGGCCTTAGATTGTGGAGACAGGCAGAAGCTTGGACAGGGAGTCCTGCTTAAAAGTCAGCACGACCATTTCTGGGTACCAGCAGAAGGTTTCTTTGGAGGGTTTCTTGGTTTCTACTTTCAGCCTCCCCCCCCGAGAGGTACAATAAGGCTGAAACCAGTAATTTAGAGAGGGGAGTGTCAGCAGGAGTCAAAGTGACAGAGTGGATTTTGATTCCTTTTCCTTTTGAAGCTGCTTCCCCTTTGATATATCCCTCACATTATAACGTGTAGATGTGGAAAGGTGATTATTTTTTAACATCTCTCAAGATAAGCAGCGTGTCAATCCAATATTACCCCCTTTGCTAAGAGGTGCATATATATTGTAATAAACGTGTCATGGGATGTACAGAATCATCTTCTGACAGCTGAGTCTAATCAGAGCCATTGGACATTGTATCACAAGTTATGTCATGATCTGATGAAGCAAAGTCTGTCAGGAAGATGCTCCTGTAGCAAAGGAATAACATGCCAGTGTGCACAGGGGGGTCAGGGCCCTTCCTAGGTGTCCCCTCTGTCCTGACAAGTGAGACAGACACAGCAGCAAAGTCCTGATGCCTGGTGCACTCTCTGCATGGTTGTGGAGGGGGTGGAGGTTCATTTTCACCCTGCTCAGGAGACATCTGAAGCTGAGATGGTAGCTCATGGTATCACCACAGACTATGTCAGCTGCAGGAACAAGAAGTCATCCCTGCATTTTGCAACTGCTTCAAAGCTAGGAGAGAAGAAGGGAAACATCAACAAGACCCTTGTACAAAACACACAGCCCAAGGTTCTTCAGACACAGAGTGTTTAGGGGAATGTTTAAAACCAATATTTAAAATGATACAAAGACAAACCAGAAGGGAAGCAAGGTTTGCTTGGTCAAAGACAGGGCAGAAAGCTGAGCAACTCGAGCAAGGCTTCAACCAAGATCTGAGCAGGTTCCTAATCCCCCATGCAATTCATGTATTTAAAAGCCTTACTAGATGAAAACATGAAAGGCTCTGTCAAATCAAGCTATATTTTTCACTTCAATTAATCATCCCCAGAAAATTGTAACTTTGTTGTCTCTTTGTCTGTGTTCAGTTTGAGCAAATCCAACTTTTCTCATTGTCTCTGCAGATTATGAAAGGCTTTGTGGATTATATCATCAAATTAAATCGAGCTTGTTAGTGTGACTCTCAGAATATCACACTAATTGGCTGTGCCTCAGGCAGCAGTGCTCTTCCTTCTCTTCTTAAAATGTTTTTCCTGCCTCAGTGTTGCTCTGAGCTGGTGTGTCTCTCCTTGCTAATAGGAAAGTGTATAAAAATCACATAATCGTTAATATCAAAGAATCATTAAGGTTGATAAAAGCAGCTCTGGCTGCAGTGATGTTGTTTTTCATGGTCACTGCTTTTGGAAAACATGCCCATGCAAACATCAGCTCAGCTGGTTTTTAGGAGCCACCAGTTGATCTAGTGGCTGTTTGACTCCATCTATTGCACTCTCGGAGATGGCTCCAGTTAGATGATCATTTCACAAGCCTGTAGGAATAAATGGATTTCTAGAAGCTGCCTCTGCTGCCTTCATCCCTTCATCCCCCTGTTTCCCATGCAGGCAGCATACGAAAGGCAGCAATCAGTAGTGGAGCAGTAAAGTCTTGGTTGGGTTTTTATTAAAGCAATGATGTGCTGACTGGCTGAAAAGTGTCAAAACTGCAATCTTGTAACATCAACAAAATAAGGCAGGATGCTTTTCTTCCTGGAGAGGAATGCTGAGAGCATAAATGAGCCCAGCATGAAAGTGGTGAATCTGAGCATTTCTCCCCTGGGGAAAAAGGTTTGATGTATGTCAGGCTGGGTCACTTTTTTCCTTAATAAGAAAAGACCAAAGTCTTAAGGTTCATGACTCATGACCCACCTTTGCCTTCCTCTCCCCTCTGCAGTAGTTCCTCGACAGTGCATCCAGCTGGGTTTTCCTCTTTTAAGCAGAACTAGAAGTGAAGAAATACTGAAGGTACTACAAAAGTCAATCTGAGCATGCCATGAAAGGCTGGGAAAGCTTAGGGAAATGTGGGGTGGTATCTTAAAGCCTGTTAGTGAGAAGGAACTGACCCGAGTCACATAGAAATATGTCTTGAAAAGCCCTGGGACTAAGCAGTGCCTGTGAGACTTTGTGGTCACCCTGGAAAAGGAGCTGATAGGGACAGAACTGGTACAAGCAGCTTCTCCAGCAGAAACAAAAACTGAACCTCATCCAAGTGTTGTTGCTGCCAGAGCCTCCAAGAGGTCTGGCTGTCAGGGGGTGGGCAGGAATGTGGCTGCAGTGGAGCAGTGTGTGTGTGTGGGCCTGCACGTGCAGCTGGCTGAGGCAGGGACAGCAGGGACAGAGGCAGCTCCCTGCCTGTGTCCCTGCTGAGCTACATCCGCAGAGACTGATGATGATTCCAAACTGGAATCCTCCACGTGAGGATTTGTGTTTGCTGAGTTACCCAAGAAAGCAGCAGCCTTTGTAATTTAAGCACAAAGGGGTCTGAGTCACAGTGTGCTTCATACCCTTTGCTTTCCCATGCTAAGGATGCTTTTAGGGAACCCTAACAGAAATGAAACTCCAGCACTGAGATGTTCCAAACCCAGGGTCGTTAACACCTCTAGTTTCATTTAATCTCAACTGCTACAAGATTGTCTGTCTTTGCATCCTGTGTGGTTTTCTTGGCATGGCATCCATGTCATTCTCTCTCACTGGAAGTTCTCCCTTTGTAGAACATTGTCATCTGCTGGAGTGTGGTGTGCTGTGGAGTGGTGAGCGTGCTCACAGGAACTGCTTAGTTAGCCAAGGGAAGGGAGATGCCCCTAAAGTCAAACATCAGGATGGATGTTTGACATCCATCGAGGTTAGTTTCTGGTCTCTCTGCTGCCAGGTGAGGCTGTGTTTTGTATATATGCTGGTAGTGGAAAACCCTGGGTCATAACATGGTGCAAAAGGACTTTGTGGCTCACATAACAAACACTACGTCAGGACAGAATTATCAAAGTCCTGTCTTGGATGCTCTTGCACAATAGAAATAAAATTCTCTTCCCTCACTTAGAAGAGCTTTTATGCTTTTAACTGAGTTAGAAATAGGCTTAATTTAGGTTTACAGTTGAAGAAAGATTAGAAGTTGAATTGCCTAACCTCTTTAGCCAAAACAAGAACTGGAAAACAAGGCCAAGACTTGTAGTCATGACTGGTGGCTTGAAGTGTGGACCTTGAGCTGTTCCTTTTGGGTATTTTTTGCTGAAGTATCAAGCCTTTCAAAGTTGAGGCTCTTCAAAGCAACCCTTTTTGGGTAGCAGAGCTCACTAGTCCTGTTAGAAGATCTCAGCCTAGACCACGGCCAGTCTGGATTCCATCCAGACATCCCCAGTACTGGGACTGGAAGCTGCTGCCTGTCCCAGCTCCTGCAGACTGATTCAGAGCTAAAAGAGGTTGCATGAGTGGGGTTTCATGATGCTGTTCTCTTTGCAATGCAGGAGGCCTTCGAGGAGCTACAGTGATAGATGCCTTAGATACTCTGTACATCATGGAACTCGAGGAGGAATTTCAAGAAGCAAAGAAGTGGGTGGAGAAGAGCTTTGACTTGAATGTGGTGAGTCAGTTACTGGGCATGCCTATCTGGGTCTCAGAAACTCCGTGTGTTTGGCCAGTTTTGATCTGTCTTCTCTAAGAATAAAATATTGAGGCAGGATCTATGAAATCTGTGGGGGAAGAAACTACCCAGCTCTGATTTATTTATTTTTTTATAGTTTTTTTTTAAGACCAAAGTCCCTGTGATAATTCACCCCATCTTCTGCCTGTACATGGCCCAAGGTTCCAGCCAGGGGCCACCACCAGATCAATCCTATGGTGTCTGGCTGCAAATGAGATTCAGTGTTTAATGTGTTTTGTGTTTTGGTCTGGGTTATAAAACCAGCTTTTATTATTAGGGAGGACGAGGAAGTTTTGTTCATCAAAGAACAAGTTCTGTTTCATCTCAGTTAAATGCCTGCCTGTGATAAAATAAGTTTTACTTTTTACATGCTATAGATTGAAAAGGCTGATCTCCTTGGCTGGGCCCTTAGTGGGGATGGCATTCCTTCTTTGCAATGCAGGAGGCCTTCGAGGAGCTACAGTGATAGATGCCTTAGATACTCTGTACATCATGGAACTCGAGGAGGAATTTCAAGAAGCAAAGAAGTGGGTGGAGAAGAGCTTTGACTTGAATGTGGTGAGTCAGTTACTGGGCATGCCTATCTGGGTCTCAGAAACTCCGTGTGTTTGGCCAGTTTTGATCTGTCTTCTCTAAGAATAAAATATTGAGGCAGGATCTATGAAATCTGTGGGGGAAGAAACTACCCAGCTCTGATTTATTTATTTTTTTATAGTTTTTTTTTAAGACCAAAGTCCCTGTGATAATTCACCCCATCTTCTGCCTGTACATGGCCCAAGGTTCCAGCCAGGGGCCACCACCAGATCAATCCTATGGTGTCTGGCTGCAAATGAGATTCAGTGTTTAATGTGTTTTGTGTTTTGGTCTGGGTTATAAAACCAGCTTTTATTATTAGGGAGGACGAGGAAGTTTTGTTCATCAAAGAACAAGTTCTGTTTCATCTCAGTTAAATGCCTGCCTGTGATAAAATAAGTTTTACTTTTTACATGCTATAGATTGAAAAGGCTGATCTCCTTGGCTGGGCCATTAGTGGTGATGGCGTTACTGGGATTTGTGCAATGGAACCTTGCAGAGAAGTGGGAGCACACAGGGAGCCTGGATGAGGAAGGAAGGGCATCATATCTAAGCCTGGCCATGGATGCTCCCTCTCTGTGGCCCCTGAAGCTTTCTCAGCCACTTCTCAGAGCTGGTATTAGACTTGCTGGGACTCTGGGTGCAAGACAAGCCTTGCTGTGCCATCAAATGAAGGATCCTGGCTGTTAATCTAATTTTGTGGCCAGGGCCCCTTGCCTTGGCTCTGATTGTTAGTCTCCAATCCAGCTCTTTTCTTTACCATGGGAGAGCTGATGGGATCACATCCGTGGCGGACGCTGAATGTTAAAACTAGAAAGCAGTTCAAACTTGCATTTTTTTCATGCCAGCCTAGTTGTCTATTGTGAAAAATTGTTCCTCCCATGGGGACAATGCTTGCAGCTGCCTTTACAGAAAAGCATAATTTGGGAGGGCATGACTGGCATTTGTGTATTCATAAAGGGAAGACCACATCTGATAAATTTGGTGGGTGCTCTCAGTGCGTTGATGAATCAATAAACAAGGCACAGAATCAACTGGGAGATAATTTATCTGGATTTCATAAAAGAATTTAATCTTGGCCTGCAGAATACATTGATCTGTAATGACAAGAATGAATGCTATGGATTGATCAGTGGAGTCAGAAAGCACAGCAGAGGGAGGGAAA